ATTGCTTTAAAATTAAAATTTTAATTAAAAAAAGGAAGAAAAATTCTCGAAATAGAAAGGAATAATGATCAAAAAATTATTTTTTTTCGTCTAAGGCCTTCCAAAACTTTCAGACTTTATTGACCCCTACGCTAAAAATATCGTGTCGGGCTAATTCACGGAACGGACAAGTCGCGGAATTACTAAATTACGAAACGATCTGCATTTAAAATTATAGCCTACATTAAAAATTTCTCCTAGCCTTCGAAAATTTTTCCTAGCCACGTGTCTGGTTAATTGTCAGAAAAATAAAGGAGTGTTTAAAACTCAACAAAAAGCTAGGAGTTTGGATAAAATATCAAAAAAGAATTTCAAAAAATATTTTATCAAATTGGAAAAATAATTCTCAATGACTAAATAAATTGAAAAATTGATAATCCAAAACTTAGAGAATTTAGTCAGATTTTTAACAAAAATAAATAATCTAATTTTTTGTAAAAAAAAACCTGTGTTTCAGTGTTATAAAGCCTCAAAGTAGGATGTCTTGTCCCACACAAAAAGAATTCTCCGCTTGGATGAAATGTAATTGAAGAAATTGGTTCGACTTCCTAAAAATTATTTTTGAAAATTAATTTAAGGAAAAAACATTAATTGTCCTCATTGCCCTTTTAACAGCAGTTTTTGAATAATCAAATAATTTTAAAGTAAAATCGTTGCTTCCAGAAAGTAAAAGTTGTTCTCGAGGATGGAAAGCAACACAAGTGACTTCCTTAAATTGAAAGAAAAGTTGCGAAAAAATATTTATTTTAGATTAGGCCTTCGAGAGTGGGAGTGTCGGGTTTCGGGGTTTGCCGGGGTAGAGCCTTCGGGGAAGGGGAATGGGTGGGTCGGGTTTTTGCCTAAAAATTCGATGGAGGTTGAGGTTTCGGAGGACGGGGTGCTACCCTATTTTAATTTAAAAAATTAAAAAAAAATTTTAAATATGAAAAAATTAATTTCTAACATCATAAATTTAAAGAAATTATTTTTAAATTAAAAATTCAATAAAAACTATATTCCAAAAATTAAAAAAACAAACATCCAAATGGTCGTAAAGTGTTCGTATTACTGGATGGTGTGAATCGGGACCTGATTCGCTTAAAGCAGCTGTATCAATCCTGAAAAGACTAATTTTTTATTAAATTAATATTTCTGTGGAGAATTTCTGCGAATTTTTATAAAGAAAAAAGCTAAAAGTAATTTACTCGAAACTGTAATTCAAAGGTAAATGAGAGAGTGAAATCCGCAAAAACTGTCCGCAAAATTAACAATACCTACGAACCTTGAAATAACTTTGTCTACATCCATTATTTTTATTGAACAATCAACTGATGCTGTTGCAATAAGTGCACCTAAAAAATTGAAAAATCAAGGCATTTTTAAGACTATATAAAAATAATAAAATTTCGAAATTAAAGGCTGAAGTGTGTTCTAACCGGAAAAGGTTAAGCTACTCAAATCTTATAAAAACGGCGCATGAATATTTCCCCAGAAAATATGTTAAATTAAAAACAGAAAAAAAAACCGTCAGAAGAAAAAGCAGCAGCACGGCAGGGGCCTTTATGTGTTGTTAAGTATACAGTTTCGTATAAACTAGGTTCTGGGCCTATTAAAAGTTAAAGAAAATAATTAAAAATAAATCAACTAGTAGGAACAACATCAGCATCAAATTCCAAATCCAAACCCGACGATTCAACACCGAACTAAAAAAAATCGAATTTTTTAAGAAAAAAATTTTTAAAGAACCTGATCACCTACAGCCTCTTTTTCTTTAGATTCTGGGTCTTCCACATATTGGCGAGCGACTGTTACTAACCGAAAAAGTTTGTCTGAAGGAGGGGGTGGACGTAAAGAAAGGCCGAGTGATTGAGCCTTGAAAAAGATTTTAAACGAAATTTCTAAAAGAAAATTACCAAATTTAGTGCCAATTGTTGGTGCCCATCATAAAACATTTGGCTAGAAAAAATTAAAAATTAATTTTTTAAAATATAGAAAATTACCCAATTATCAGTTTGTACATAAAATCGCGATCCTTAATACTGTCAGGCTTCATTATTTGAAGAATTTAAAGCAAGAAAATTTTTTTTCTTAATTTCTAAAAAAATCCAAGTTATAATAAAAATAAAGAAAGAATCTGAGACTTGAGAACTCAGTTAGTGGGTCAACTATTTGACCAATTTTCCAAGTAAAATTTTATTTTTTAAACTTTTTGTCATCTATTTTAGACATTTAGATAAAACAAAAAAATTAATATTGAACCTAACAGGCCACATTCCTTCATCCCAAGTTTTTCCTATATATTTACAGAATGGGCAGATTTCTGCCTTTGTTCAATACCAATTTCCTTTCTTCGATCCAAGGAGGATAAAAATTAATTTTGATTGTTTGTAGAAAATGGGTTCTGTTAGGTTCAATATTACCCGAAAAAGTAAAGCAAATAAAGCAAACAAAATAGTATAAATTAAAACAAAAATAAACTGAATTTTCATCACTTCTTTTAATTAGAACATTAAAGAGTGCTTGAAGTTGAGCCAGTGTTCCGATCACTCGATTTTTGTACCCATAGTGGCAGCAATGCACAACCTAAATTTTTCAATTTCTAGTTATAAAACTTTATTTATGGTAAAATTCCGTCATATGTCCCGGAAACCGATTCAGACAATCGATATGTCATTTGAAAGAGCTCACTGAGCTGAGTCGAACGACACCAAAATTAGCTTTGGGACTCACCTATGGGCCGAGATATAGGTCCTCAAAAATCGAAAAACCATAGGGGAGTAAGCACATTTTTGGGGTGAAAAATTCGATTTTACAATTGATGACATATGCCGGAATTTTTCCTTATTTATATACAATGTGCAGTTGTTTGTGTTGACATTTCATTTCGAAAAAGAGCCGGATAAGTTTGTGTTCCTTTGGAACGATGATTTGGAAGTGTCTGAGTAGCCACCCTCCTTCCCTCCATTTTTGATTGTGTAGCTACAGATTTTGCTGAGGAAAATGTTTGAGTAGAAACTTCTTTGTTTTTGGGGATGTTTTGATTGTTTGAGGGACCAGCATTTACAGATGAACTTTGGTTAAAATAACAATGATCGCTTAAAGCAGCTTTTCGTTCCCGTTGTTTTTTAATCTTTGCTTGTGATGCTTTCCATGCGCGTTGTCTAAGTTTTTCTTTCTTTTCTTTACGCTTCAATGACGCTTGTCTCATTCTTTCACTATTAACACCCATTTTTTCTAAAATTTGCTAGGTATTTACTGTGAGCGGCACCGGACCAGATCCGGCCGGATTTTTTCGAAGTCCGGATCCCAAATCCAGGTTTTTTCACGATCTCCGGATTTTTTCTGGACCGGACAATCCAGAAAAGTCCGGTCGGATCCGGCCCGGACTATTATGGTGACACGACTCGGGCACAGTGATCCATTTGCACAGTAAGACTTTTGCACAGAGGGCATCTGCACAGAGGACAATTGCACAGTAATTTGTGGTTAAGTGGATTCGTGTTAGGTTTTACTTATTGTTATAAGGGAATAAATGTTACTAATTATTAATACCTTTACTAAAAAAATCTTAAATTGTATTAGAATTCATAATTCTTTTTCTAACCTAAGTATTTCTTAATTCCTTTTTACATATTCTAAATTTTCACTCGCTTATCAAGTGGACAAATTCTAGCAGATCTTTAATAAAGTGTGCAAGTATTTGTTGTAAAAATGGATTTTTACTAATGTTTAATGATAAATAATTTACTTTCTAATAAGTTTCTTAATAATAAAATGGTTTCTTCGTAAATTTTTTATCTATCTACTATCTAAATTCAAATACAGTCAATAAAGCTAATTACCCCCCCCCCTCCGTTTGCCATTAAAATAATGTTGCTTCACACCGCTCATTTTTGACGACCTGTTATATCAAAAATAGATTTTGTTGGAAAGGCTACCATACCCCTTTGTAGTCCTGAGCACCTCTGGTCCTGAGTCTGCTATATTAGATAAACACCTTTTCACCTTTAAAAAAAATTTCTTGCGGGACACGCACTTGACTGAACGCCTAGGTCGAACTGCGTTGGGGTAGTACAGTGCAACAGAAATCAGATTTTTTAAAAGGGGTACATATCAAAAACTTCTTTCTTGTTTAAAAATGTTGTTAAGACTCGGGGCAATTATTATGCTCAGTTAGATTTTTTATTCATTTGATACTTTATGTGATTTACAGATTTTTCTTATGAATTCTAATACAATTTAAGATTTTTTTAGTAAAGGTATTAATAATTAGTAACATTTATTCCCTTATAACAATAAGTAAAACCTAACACGAATCCACTTAACCACAAATTACTGTGCAATTGTCCTCTGTGCAGATGCCCTCTGTGCAAAAGTCTTACTGTGCAAATGGATCACTGTGCCCGAGTCGGAGCGCCACTAGTATTTACAAAAAATTAGGAAAACAAAAAAATACGAAACTTGCGCCAAAGCTCGCACCGAAACGGTCGCCTCCAAATTACGGAAAAGGACGTTTCAGTATCGCCGATTCAGTGTCTAGGCCATATTTTGGCCATAACTTTCTTGTTTTTCCTCTGATTTGAGTAAATTTCATATCATTCGAAAGGTCTCGAGATGCGGCATCTTTTTAATAAAGACTGATCTGATCTGAAGTTTCTACATAAAGTTAGAGCCAAATAAAGATAGAAAATCACGATTGACCTCACTTATTCGGCTACAACTTTTTGTAGGGTGTTCGAATCAAATCAGTCCTTTTAGGTAAAATAATCCCCACTTTTAGAGCTTTTGAATGATATAATAATTATTTAAATCGGTTAAGAATCAAAAAAGTTATGGGCCAAAATATGCATCCAGATACTGAATGGATGATACTCAATCGTCCCCCCACCCCCTCTAATTGTCGCTTTTTAGAAAATTCTTTTTTTTTCATCCTTTTTTCTGCTTTTATTGTTAAAAATTTATCTTTTAGTTATGCAAATTTAATGTCAGAACAACAAAAACAAACAGAAGGTTCAACAAAAACAACAAAAAACACAAATAATTCTCGTTATATGCACAGTATTTTCCAAGAGTGTGATCAATTAAAGAAAGAATACGACAATTGTTTTAACGCTTTCTTCCAGAAATTTATAAGTCCTGAATATCGACATTCTAGTGGGTTGAATAATCCTTGTGAACAAGTACATTTTGTTTATAGAGAGTGTGTTGAAAAGGTTTGTCTTTATTTGGGGGGGGGGGGGGGAGGTTTTGAGGGATTTTTAAGAGAACTGAGTATACGGGAACGTTGGAGATGATTTTTACCTTTTCCCATTGTTTTTAAATTTACGTTTCTTTTGCATTCTTTAGATATCGAAATCGAGTTGGGGTTAATAAAGGTCTAAGGTTTATTGATTCAAAGCCCAATATCTTGTTCCAGGACAGTAAATCCGAATTCATGCCCAAAAATCGGTAATAGGGAAGAATCTGGAGACGTCTTAAAAATTCTCAGCTCGCCGAGACGAATCGAATGGTATACATATCGAGAGGTTTCTGAGTGGGCCACCGGCTAAAGTATATCCAAATTATTTTTTTATGAAAATCATTTTATATTAGATATTTGCCAATGATTTTCAGAAGAAATAATAATTTCTAAGCTGTCTCAGATCTTTCGCTATTACTCAAAATCTCCCTCAATTTTTCCCTTAATTAGATAAAATTATTTCTTTCAATTAAGAATCTTAAATTGCACAAGCCTTTCGATATTGACATTGACGAAGTTCGAAAACAAGTTTTGGCTGATTTGCAAAACGAAAAGGTTCGGAACGGCAATTAAACGATGAATGAATTTGTTCAAAGCGCAGTGAATGGAGGTACAACATCTGGAGGGATTAGCTCAACACAGCCTGACCAATCTTTTGAAACTCGTTTTAATAATTTGGAGAGGAATTTGGAACTTTTTCAGGTTTTTATTAAATAAATACCGACACGTTACGGTACTTATTTACTCTTCCTCCCAGTCAATTTTTTCGGTAAATATGTAAAAATGGTCAGTCTGTCAAGGCTCGACGAGTTCTATAACCTATTCAGACTGACCATTTTTTACTTATCTAGCGAAAAACTGAGCGGAGGAAGTAAATAAATACCCGCACGTTATTCTTCTACAAAAGTTAACCGAGGTTGCCTATGCTTGCATAGATAAGACTGGGTTTAATTGAGACCTTTTGTTTGAGATCATAATTGTGGGTTTAATTGAGACCATAATTGTCAAAAAAATTTTTCTATTTTTAAAATTTTATTTTGCTTTTAAAGGAGAATGCTCGTCATATGGGTGTAATTGCTAGTGATTTTAGTGTACAGAGTCAAGAACCGTTAAATCAAAAAGTTCAAACGCTCGTTTCTGGTCTTCAAGTATTTTTTTCTTGAATTTTTTTAATTTTGTTAAAAATATTTTTAAAGGTTTTGGATCAATTAAAAAACCAATTTGTCGATGTTCGCGTACCTATTCGTTTGTTGGATATTTTGGATGAAGGGAACAATCCACAATTGTTTACTAAAGAAGCTTTAGAAGATACAAGGAAGAGAAATAAAGAGGTTTTTTTAATTTTTTAGAAATTATTTTTGGAGTGTTTATTTTCATTTAAGTGTCAGGGTGATTCTTTTTCTTCCCTTACTTTTGTTTTTCATTTTTTTGGAAGCTCTGTTCATTTAAATAATTTTCCCTTAATCCTTTAACTAGCTCAACTAGGTTATTTTTGCTTATCTTTAAGTTTGCTGATAATAATTTTATGGGATATACCGTAAATGTTCTAATTAAAGCCCGGCTCTATTAGTAGCCCATATCTAATATAAGCCCACCATAATTGACCAAACGAAAAATAGATGCCCAAGGATTTAATCAGAGCATTTAAATTTTAAATTCGAGGGACTTTAATTAATTATTAATTTAATCTAGTTATCCTAAATTAAAAAAAATTTTTTTTATTTTTTCAAGTTAAACGGCAAAACAGAAATTTATAAAAAATTTCAATACAATTTAATTCGCGAACTTAAATTGGAAATGTCAGCAGATGTTGATGAATATTTACGTGTTAGGAAATTAATAAATGGGGGTGGAGGAGTAGGAAATGTTTCACAAACAGATGATGGAAGTTCTTCAAGAAATACTGCAAAAGAAAATGAATAAAATTTTAAGTTTGAATATTTTATTTATTTTTTGACTAAAAACTTGGGGAAAGAAAGGGGGTTTTTCAGTTTTTATATTTTTTGGCGTCTAACAATAAGTGTCTGATACCTAGGGAATAGACTTGTCGGTTCTGGACCAAGCCGAAGAACCGATGATCTTTCGGTTCGGTTCTTCGGTTCCTGGAAAATATCCGAAGATTTTCCAGGAACCTACAACTCTACTAGAATGTTAAATTTATAAAATAAAATTTTAGAAAGAGTTGAGGATGAGGAAAATTAAATTTTTCGTAATATTTTGTTAATTTTCTAGGGTCCCAGTCGGGCAATTCCAATTTTTTGATTATTCTCCCAAATTCATTCCTATTTCGAGAGTATTGTTTTGTATTTAGAATAAATAAAATAATTCTAAATTGGATCAACTAAAAATTGATTTAATTTTCCATAAAATTTGTTTTAAAGTAAAAAAATTACGTCAAGTTTTTGGTCAATTTTATTTGGTTTATTTACTTATTTTGTTTTCAATTTGTTTGTGGTAGATTTTGATATTGTTTTTGTTAAACTTTTTGAATTGATAAATTGAATTTATTTTAATTTTTTTAAAATTTCTATTCATTTTTAATTTGATATAAAAATATTTTTTTTAATTTAATTTTTTTTCTTAAATTTTTTTTTCAGAAAAATGAATCGTGTTTTAAATTATTTTGCACCAAGAAATTCGTTCATTGCTGAAAGAATACGTTTTGGTGAGAATTTTCGTGAAATGAAAGTTTATTGGACTGCTTTTGCTCCGATGAGTGAAGGAACGGAAAAATTTGTGGAAAATTATTTGCCAATAATTAGGTGGGGTTGGAGGGGTTTTTGATTAATTTTGTTATTTTTTAGAGAGAACAATCCTCAAATTAAGTTTACGTTACAGAGAGGTTATGTTAATGTTGATCCTTGGCTTATTGGAATGTTTGTTTTTTTAAATTAAATTTATTTTTAAAAAATATACTAGGCTAGATTTAACCAAATATTTAAATAATGAAAATAAAAATGTGAGGACTACCGATCAGGATTACCCGAAATTCTGACTTTTCGACTCCAAATCCGACCCTGCTTTTTCTCTCAACCTGTGACATCCTTGCTATCGATTCAGTACAAAGCCCGCTATGTTTTGTTGGATTAATCCAGTAGGGGTTAATCCCGAAAACTTCTAAATTACTCCGGGAAATGGGCCGAAAATACGGTTTGATGATCACTAAGGTCTGGATTTTTATTGAAATAAAATCGCAATATATGGCCATAAAATATTGAAATACAACTTTGTTCAGAATCATAATATCGAATGTCGCAGACCCGAGGGCCTGCGACGTAAGTTTGGCAAGATGCCGCCAAAGAGGAGTAGACGTTGGATCCAGGAAATTGGCCCTTTCGTTTTGCCGGGCTTGCTGGTGCCTTTGAGCCGGGGAGAACCCCTAAACTCGGGAATTTAGTCGTTGAGGCTACCTAAAATTATATTATTGGGCGGGAAGACTCGTTATTTAATTTAGAAGGTGCTTAATAATTAATTACTAATTTTAATTCAAGAATAAGCGATAAATAATAAATAATTTATTTAAATTAATAAAATACATTTATATTAAAAATACATAAATAAAATTATGTTTATTTACAAAGGGAAGGGACAAGAAAAAGGGAAGGGAAGAAAGGAAAAATTAATTGTGAATCACATTATTCCTCCTATTAATGATTCCTTGTGAAGAGTCTTCTTTTCTTTAAATAGACCAGGCCAGAGCATGCAGAGTATTCGCGGCTCTGTGCATTTCCCCCATTGAGCAAAGGTCGCTTCTCAGAGAGTGAGCGACATAGCCAGTTGATTAGAAGAGCCATTTGATCACCAGTTGAATTAAAGTCGTTAACTCTGAGAGTTTCGACATAGCGGAAGTTAATCCATTACTAGAAAGGTTATTAGTCACAAACTCTGAGAGATGTGACAAAACCATAAAACTTTCCATAAATGTTTGTGTGGGAAAGTCAATCGCTCGAAGAGAGATTGACAATATTTATTGTAGTCTAGCAGGAGTATTTCACAACAAAATCTCCTTTTCTGAAGGTGCGGGACCGGGTATAGTGTATCAAATATACAGGGAAAACAATTCCCATGAGCCTCGATAACAATCGGGGAAAGGAAATATTATTTCCCATTAAAGCAACGCTTTACATTGTCGGGTCTCCGACACACTCCCCCCTTTCGAGAAGATGCCAATTCCATATTGTACCTTGTATCGCAATGTTGTCCATGATCAATCTCCTGAGACGTAGTCCTTAAAATTTTCCAATGAGTATCAGCAGAAGCTAAACCTCAGCTTAAACTTTACTTCAAAAATTTCCTTTCATTTCTATTTGAATTATTTTTGGTGTATGTCTCAAAGACGATATATTCCTAAATGTCCGAGAACATAGTTCAACGGACAGATTTCCAATATGTAGATATCCTTCTAAAGGAATGTTGCTTGATTGTCTATCGAATTATGGATGCTGCAGAAGGCTTCAAGCAAAGATCCACTTCTCTATCTTCTCCCCCCTTTCGAGAAGTAGAATATAAGAATATTTTTATATTGGTTTTCTGTTGTTTTAAAAAATATACTTCACTTATTTTATTTATTCTCGTCGATGTTGCAGATAAAGAGTTTCAAGTTAATCCATTTACTCAACTGTTCGATAAGCGGAGCTGCAGAACTTCAATAACTATATTTTGCAAACCTGCAAACCATAAATTGATTGAACATACAAACATAAATCGTTGCGTAATTTGTCCAAATTTATTAGCTCACAATCACGAGTTCTATCTTTTACTACTATTTTCTTTCTGAATCCAGTAAGCGTAGCTTCCGGACAATTTTGGTCATTCATCTGTTCCTTTTCGGTTGAATTCTTTTGTCTGCATAAAGCGAGCTGTGAAGACGTACAATTTAAATGTTCAATTCTTTTCCGTTGCTGAACCTTTTGTCAACCAGGTAAACTGCGTTGACTATAATTTGAAATATTCGTCTGCTGAACCAATAAATGTGATTAAGTACAATTTTGATTCCCTCGCTTCAGTTGTGGGGTTTAGTTTGTTCGCCCATTGAACTGAAGATGACAAGCTGAGATGATGTTGAGTTCGCTTTCTATAGTTGTTGTTATTTCTATTTGTTGAGTCGTTTTGTCCGCACAGAGAACTATGTGGACGATAAGTTTCATTGTCAAAGTAACTCAATTTGTCTGATCACTTTAATTATGCGGTCCTACAGCTAACTGTGACGACATGAAATATTTTTGCAGATGATTCAACTATTTTTCCTTATCTTTTCTTTTGTCCACACAGAGAACTGTATGGAAAGCAACTTTAATCATAATCTCGTTGTTGAGAAAATTTGTCCACACAGAGAACTGTGAGGACGGTTAGTTTAAATGTCCTATTGCTCCATTTCATTTTAAATACCTTTTGCTTGTATTGTCCGCACAGAAGACTGCGAGGACAACAATTTAAATGTTGCTTGGTCCGTTGATTCCAACTATTGAGTTTGTTTTGTCTTCACAGATGAATGCGGGGACCATTAGTTATGATGTTCAAGTTGATACAATTTATCCAATACTTTTCGCTTCCGTTGTTCACATAGAGAACTATGAGAACGTGAATTTTTCAAAAATAATTATATTGATTGCAAATATCCTTTCCTCTCCATTTCTTCTTTTCCGAATTTTTTTTCTGCTGTCCTCGCAATGAAATGTGAGGACGTAATTTTGATTGACAGATAATTACATTATTTGCCTAATATCTTTTCTTCTCTATTGTCTAGACAATTTACAGTGAAGCTGTTGTAGTTTGTCAAATCCAGGTTAATAGCATTCTCTGGCTAATGTTGATCAAGTGTGTTGAGTTGAATTTGAAATTAAAAAATACATAATGAATTTAAAAATTTAATTATATAAATTACAAATAATGGGTACAAAATTAATAGATAAATATAAATATGAAACAAAGGAAAGATAATTTAAAATTAAATATTAAAATTAAATTCACTTACCTTACCTGATTGTTCCGTATTTGTATTGATTCCATGTTGCATATGAGAGATGTTTCATTTTGTGTAATTAATTGATAGTGATGTCTTTATGTTGTCGCAATATTCGCTGTTAGCCAGTAACGAGACTAGACTAACGTAACACTCAGGAAGTAGTTGTGGATAAAGCTGCCAAGATGAGTTGGGTTGTTGGTCTCCGAGATTTCTTTTAATTCTGATGCTGAAGAATCAATTTTATTTGATAGTTGTTTGTTCATGTCGGTCTTAGAAAAGATACCGACTTAGTTTTGTAGTTGGCCCTAACCTAAGAACGGGCTTCTGTATCTCTACCCTTAGTAGAAGTCTTTGCTTCATGTTGTAGACCATAAGCCATTTTGTAAGATATCTCCTCTTGGACTAGTTGTTTTAATTTGTCTCTGAACATTTTCGTGTTCCATGCTGGGTTATTACGTTTGGCTTCCTTGATTTCCTTTAATATTGTATAATTTAATTTGTCCTCCAAAGAAGAACAAATGATAGGATTATTCAACTCGGCTCCGAGAGATTCGAGTTGTCTACAAATCAATTCCATTTCAAGTTGAAATTGTCGGACGTCTGAAAACGACCAACAGGGTTTTAGAGCAAGGAATCGTTGAATCAAGTCGTCGGTGATTGCTTCCTTATCATCATATTTCTCTTTGAGCATGTCCAATGCTATCTTGTAGTTATCGGCCGAAGGCCTGAAATAACGGACTAAGTTCAACGCTTCTCCTTCCAAAAGTCCTAATAGGTGATTGAACTTATAAATTGGTTCAATATTAGAATTTCCGACCGTTGCATTAAAGGATTCAATAAACTCACGCCAGTGTCGAATGTTGCCTGAGAATTTCTTTGGTGAAGACAGAATAGGAAGAGAGACTGGTTGCACAGTTTGATTCAGTGTTTGGTACGTTTGGTTCATGCTTCGATTCAAAATTGATGTGGAATTACTCCCCTTACATGTTGATTCTAATACGACTTCTCTTGCTGTAAATTTACCTATAAGCCCCATTAAACATCTTCTTGCCTCCAAGGCTTTAGTCATAATAACTTCACACTGATAATCTTCTTGGTCTTTATCGTAGATTCTAGACACACGAACTTTATCTATCTCCGTTGCGTGAGAAAGGACAGAAGCCCTTCCTCTTCTATCTTATTCATTGCTGCCATAACATCTTCGAGTTCTTCGAGGTGACCTCGAAGAACAACTAATGTTGATTTAATTTCTGCAAGTTCATTTATGTTGTCTTGTTGTTCTGGTAAAGCTGGCATTGATTGTGCCAACAATGAGTTGAGTGTTGTAGCTGTTTTCTTTGTGCGGTTGCTGAGTACGTTGGTCATTGTAGTTAATATAATTAACAATTATTATCTTAAATTTAGTAATTTAAATTAAAATTTTATTAAAAATTAAGTTGGGACTGTTAAGCCTTAAAGTGATTTATGAGAGCAAGAAAGTCGCGATAATAGAAAGAGGAGAGCGAATCTCGCAGGAGAGAGCAGAAAGCGGAATGCGAATAGCGCAAGAGCGAGAAAGGAGAGGCGAATAGCGCAAGTGCATTAAGCGGGATGCGAATAGCGCAAGGGCGAGAAAGAAGCGGAATGCAAAAAGCGCAGAGTTAAGCGGTGGGGCGCCGAGGCGCGGATTGGGACCCTGTTTTATTTTATGAAGCAGGCGAGAAGCGGATAAGCGCTAATAGCGCGAGGCGGTTACTCAATATAAAAAAGCTAGCTAGCAGAGAAAGATGTATAGAAGAGTAGAGATGAATGACTAATTGTTAAGTGGTTGCTAAATCTGAGCCTAACCATTAAAATATAAATAAAATTTATTTATTGTTGTTCGCTCTAAGACGATCAACTTTTTGTTGTAATTTATGAGAGCAATGTTGTTACACTTAGTATAAACAACAAGCGCGTTTGGGAAAAGAGCATTTTAAAATTAAAAGAATGTTAAGTGTTGATTGAAGGAAGATGAGAAAACGGAAGTGGACAACAGAAATAAATAATAAATATTTATTAGAGAGAAGATTAAAAGGTGTAAAGTGTGGGAAAGGGGATAAAAATGAAGAGAGTAAAAATAAATGTATTGTCCTGAACTTGAATGTTGTCCAAGTGAATTGCTGTTGAAACTGTACCAATATCTGACAAAAGTGTTGAGACTCAAAAGAGTCTCAACTATTATAAATTATTAAAATTTATTTTGAAATTAAGTGTCATGTCCAGAAGGATCGTGACGGATATTTTCATTTTTAAAATTTAATATTGAAAAGTTTTAATTTTTATTAAATTTTAAATTTGCCTCACTTAGTCCAACCGTTGAGTATGAAGCGCAAAAGACAATTGTCGGTAGAGGCATAGAAATTTGTATAAGTGTCAGAATTGAGCAACAGTCTTGTTATTATTTGTCGTTCAAGCATCAGAGCTACTTTTAGTCGCAATAGAGCAAAGCCGCAAAAGAATTGTTGTTTAGTCGATTTGTAAAATTTGTGTTGTTCTTTTATGACAGTAACTAGGTTGGAATGATAAATAAACAATTATTTATTATTGTAGCTGTAGAAGTGGTTGTCGCAGAGAAGTCCACGGAAAGATCTGCAGTGAATACTCACTTAGCCCAATCAGTGTGTAAGAAGCGCAAAGAGTCAAATGTCAGCAGATCCATAAAAATATGTAGTAGAAGATTTGGGCAACAGCCGAGTTATTATGTGCCGTTTGTGCATCTGAGCCTAATGTAGTCGCATTAATCAATTTACTAAATTTATTGTTGTTGTCTCTAAGAGACAGTAACTGAGTTGGAATAGTGAAAACCGGAGGTTGTCGCTGAAAAATCCACAGAGACACCTGAAGTGAACACTCAAAGAGTGATTCACGTTAAATGAAATAAGTTAAGTCACTAAGTGAGCTTAACATTAAAATTTTTATTTTTAAAATTAAATTTGTTAAAGAAAATTTTAAAATTATTTTTGAATTTGTAATAAATTAAAATTTGCCTCAGTGCATATCGAGTCCATACGATTTCGGTGGAAATTGATTGAATTGTTGAACATCCATACAGTAAAGTAAAAATAATGTAGATTGTCCAGGATCCTTCAAATGTAGTTAATTAATTAGTGTCGTTTTTATTAATGTAGAATTAGTAATCCTGTCTGGGTCGCCATGTGTCGCAGACCCGAGGGCCTGCGACGTAAGTTTGGCAAGATGCCGCCAAAGAGGAGTAGACGTTGGATCCAGGAAATTGGCCCTTTCGTTTTGCCGGGCTTGCTGGTGCCTTTGAGCCGGGGAGAACCCCTAAACTCGGGAATTTAGTCGTTGAGGCTACCTAAAATTATATTATTGGGCGGGAAGACTCGTTATTTAATTTAGAAGGTGCTTAATAATTAATTACTAATTTTAATTCAAGAATAAGCGATAAATAATAAATAATTTATTTAAATTAATAAAATACATTTATATTAAAAATACATAAATAAAATTATGTTTATTTACAAAGGGAAGGGACAAGAAAAAGGGAAGGGAAGAAAGGAAAAATTAATTGTGAATCACATTATTCCTCCTATTAATGATTCCTTGTGAAGAGTCTTCTTTTCTTTAAATAGACCAGGCCAGAGCATGCAGAGTATTCGCGGCTCTGTGCATTTCCCCCATTGAGCAAAGGTCGCTTCTCAGAGAGTGAGCGACATAGCCAGTTGATTAGAAGAGCCATTTGATCACCAGTTGAATTAAAGTCGTTAACTCTGAGAGTTTCGACATAGCGGAAGTTAATCCATTACTAGAAAGGTTATTAGTCACAAACTCTGAGAGATGTGACAAAACCATAAAACTTTCCATAAATGTTTGTGTGGGAAAGTCAATCGCTCGAAGAGAGATTGACAATATTTATTGTAGTCTAGCAGGAGTATTTCACAACAAAATCTCCTTTTCTGAAGGTGCGGGACCGGGTATAGTGTATCAAATATACAGGGAAAACAATTCCCATGAGCCTCGATAACAATCGGGGAAAGGAAATATTATTTCCCAATAAAGCAACGCTTTACATTGTCGGGTCTCCGACATCGAAAAACTGATAGCATATTTGGGCTTTTTTCGATAAAGTGTGTTTGCAAAAAAAATATTTATTTTAATAAAAATCCGGGCCCTAGTGATCACTAATTTAATTCTCTGCAAAAAATATTTTTCTCTCTTTTTATTAAATTAAAAATTTAAAAAATCATTTTAGTTTTGAATTTGAGCGTAAAAGAATTCATCGTCTCTGCTGGAAAGATCCTTGCCAAATTTTGACGATGGTAGAACAATTTGCTGAGGGTGGAGACTACCGATCAAGTATTTTCGTTCTCTACTTTTACCAAAAAAATTGTTTAAATTTTTAAAGGTTTTCGCTGCAAAGTTGCCACAATTCTTCCTCGTGGCCTTCAAATTTGGGACTGCGAAACTAAAGGTCACGACATATTTACTGTCTATAGTAAATGGAAAGCTGACCCTCCCGATCCAAATTTATTAACTTCTGCCACACATCCACATTTGTGTTATAGAGGGGTTAGAACACACAGAAAGAAACCTAGAAAAGTTAAACAATACAAAAAATAAAATTATTAAAAAAATTGTTTTTTGATTTGGGGTTTTTTGTTTTAATTAGTAGAAATAATAAATTTTGAATTAAAAAAATTTTTAAAATGTAAAGAAGGGTGATATTTATACTTTTGCTGGGCAATCGCACTTTAATAGACAATTGCAAAATTTTAAATTAGAACACGAAATTAGAACACAAATTAGATCTCTTCTGATAATAATAATGAAATGTTTCCACATAAAAGTGTTTGTGTGTTTGGCAGGAAAGGAAGACCAAAAGGCAAACATTCCAACGGCAAATATTTATTAATTCATTTTAATTCAAATAGTAAACAAAATTGATAACCATTTAAATTTTTGATTTTTTTACATAATACTACTAATTACTGAAAATTTCCTCTAATTAAAATTTTCCATGTTAGCAATTTAAATATTTAAAATACATAAATTTTCTCTAATTTACCGTATTTATTCTAATAGAATGGCCGCCATTCTATTTTTCAATGCCCCAAAAAATTGTTAGGTATTCAATTGGAGGGCAATTAAATTAGAATAAATACGGTAGTTCATTCTCCCCTTTAATTTAAACTAGAGTTGGACAAAACGATCTGGTATCGGCCAACCCGAGACCGAGATTGACCGATACTCAAGAACCCGATACCGAGAAACGATACTGACCGAGACTAACAGAAATTTTAATTTTATGTCAAAAAATACGTGTAAAAATAATTTATTCGTTATTATTAGTAATTATTATTCAGCGGCTGCGGCGCTGAAAAACGAGGAAGGTATTTAATTTTGAGGAGGTATCAACCGACAAGTAATGTCATTCGATTTAGAGCGATTAGAATTAATTATATATTCGGGGGATTAACAACATTTAAAGGGCAAAGAAGGCTACCTGTGGAATCCTTCCAGGATACAAGAAAGGATTAAGAAGGGTATCAGAGGATTTAGATGGATAATTTGGAGGGATCAAGGAAATTTAAAAAGATACCATGGGATGTCGGTGAGTTGGGGAGATAGCAAAGGATGAAGGCTATCAGCAGTTATGGATTGATGCGGGGATATCAGGGGATTTGGAGGGATATCGGGTGATCTGAGCTCCAGATATTGAACCGATATTTTTCTGAGCCGTTCAATGATGGAAAATTGGTATTCAAATATCTTGCTTTCAGCGCCGCAGGCAAAAATTTTGAGAATTCTAGAAGTGCAAGTCAGCAGATTTCTTCCAATTTTAGCGCCGCAGGCGAAAATTTTTGAATTTTAGAAGACCTTATTCAAAAACAATTGACTTTCTCTGTTATGGACGGATATCCGAAAAAAATTATGGACGAAAACTTGGATAATATTGAGGATTTTGATTCTTTGAGTCAGTATCGTTTCTCGCCGAGAAATGGACCGAGAATCTCGGTATCGGTTTCGAGACCGAGAATGAAAAAAACCGAGACCAATATTGGAAAAAAGCCGAGAATCTCGGTATCGGTCTCGTCTTGTCCAACTCTAATTTAAAACTCAATTTTATATAAAGTTTTTGACTAAATATATTTTGGTGGAGGATTCTTAAGTGGAGAATTCTTTATGGTGCAAAAACGATTAAAAATCGACCTTGCCTTCAATACATAATTGTAGCAGACAATTATTTTTCAGTTAACCCCTTTTAAGATTTAAATAAATTTTTTAAAAATAATTTCTTTTTCCCTCCCCATCTATAAACCTTTAAATATTTGCATAAACATAATAAAAAATATTCAAAACAAACATCGTGTATAAAATAGATTCAAAACTTTAAGAGAAAATTTTCTATCTATTTTGTGTTTTTAACACACATTTACAGAATACACAATGATGTTAAAAAAATGTTTATTTTAATTCCAGGATAATTTTTTTGTGAAAATGAAATCATAAAATGCAAAATATGCAAAAATTATTTTCCTAAAAAATTAAAAAAAATTGAAATTTGTAAAAATAATTTTTAAATACAGTAGGTCAGCCATTTAGAGGCGGAAAATAGTCCGGTATTCTCTAAGATAAATGGGAGAAACTTAATCTCTCCAAAAGGCATGATCAGCCACAATTTTTCGATTTGGGGGAAAGGGCCAAAAAAGCCAAAAATTGGCAATCGTTCATGCTCTACCTGATGATATAATTTTTATTTAGCAATTTTTGATCAAAATTTGCGAGGTTCCCTTTTTATTGTGAAAGTATCTCTTTTAGTCCCCTCCTTTTATTGTCCAAACAAATGTTAAAAATCGAATATTTTCAATATCTTTCTTAAAAGCCTCCTCAGAAATCAAAAATCGTAAATATAAAAAGTCAGGTTAAAAACTTTTTTCGAAAACCATAAAAATTTAAACAAACAATGGACGAACACTTTTCAAGAAAATTTTTTAAAAATATAGCAAGAAATCACAAAAGAGTAAAAAAAAATGTTTGTAATATTTGAATAATATATATTATGTAAAAACTTGTTAAAAAGTTTTATTTTTTTATGTTATCACTTTTAATTTACAAAAATAAGTTTTTTTTCTGTTTGTCCAAGTTTTATGATATCATTGTTAAAAAAATTTTAGTTGAGGGACAAAAACATATTTAGTGCCATAAGTATTTATATAAATTCATTTTTGAGAGAGAGAACCCTCAAACTCCTCTCAACTTTATTTATTTTTTAAAAATAAATTTCCAATTTTTTAAAAATTCCTAAGCAACTTTCCCTCCTTCAAACCTTCCATTTTTGATTAAAACAATTTTAGAATTTTCAAAAAGAGCCAATTAATATTACAAAAAATTTGGAAATAATTTAAAATGTTCACACAAATAATTTAAAAAATTTCAAAATAAAAGATAAGAAGGGAATTTAATTTTAAATGATAAGCACAAAATTTTAAAAAACAAACTATATAATTATAAGTATATAAATTTAGGAATAAGCACTAAAATAATTTTTGGTTTTTGATAAAAAATAATTTAATTTTAAGGTGAGAATATTGACACTTTAATTTTATAATTATCTTTTATATACATATGTATTCTCTTAAATTAAAAAAAAGTACAGATTCTAGCCGGTATTCCGAAGCAATTGCTTCGATACTCTTCGATATCGGTATTTTCCAGGTATACCAAATACCGTAAAAGGCCATTTGCTGACACTGCTTGATATCTGTATTTACATTAGGAACCGGAGCGGGACGGAATCCCGACGGGATTTTCCGGGATCCCGAAATCCCGGATTTTTTTTAATTTCGGGATCATTCGGGATCCAGGAATTTAAAAAAAAATACAGATTCTAGCCGGTATTACGAAACTTTTGCTACGATACACTTCGAAGTATCCTATAACTAGGACTGGGCCCTATTTTAATTCAAATTTTTTTCGAATCGGGATCCCGGAAGTGCGATTTTGCCTCTCTAATTTACATAATGCGTTTTTTAAATCTATATTTAATATGCCGTAAATATCTTAATAGAAGCCCCGGGCTTGTATTTTTCAATACCCCTCATTGAGTGGGCTTCTTTTAGGGACGGGCTTCTATTAGGACATTCACGGTAGATCTGATTATAGATACAATTAATGAGAAGTATCCTATAACTAGGACTGGGCCCTATTTTAATTAAAAAATTTTTTCGATAATCTGCGAACACGCAGAATCTGAGCACTTTGAATTAAATTAAAAGACTTCAATAAAATCTAGGTTTATGAATGGGTACATTTAAAAGATTAATTAAAAAATCTTAAATTAATTTTTAATTTAAGTAATTATTTAGATATACTTTTATTTTTTCAACAAATAATTCGTGTTTTTATTTAAAAATTTAATTTAAAATTAAATTAATTAAATTGCCGGACCAATTTGTTGGCTTAACAATGTAAGGGTCAAAGGTATTCTCGGAGTTTGTTTCCTATAGTTTATAGTCATTTCATTATTATTCATTTCCCTCCCACTTTTCTCACACATTTAAAAGGATTTGTAATCACCTTACAAGTGTCTTATTGTTCTTTCACTTTAATAAAAGAATTAAATAAATGCTTTAATATTTGGATTTAATAAATATATAAATTGTGTGTTCAATTGTGTATGCCTGGTGCAGGAGATCAACTGGGGGCCTGATCAACCCTTAAGTTTATCCTAGGAAGTCCCGGGCATATTCCCTCCCGTATTCCATTATTCTGGGGTTTGGGCCCACCGCATTGGTTATATCTTATTCCGGGGGTCCCACCTCTACTGGTAGCACTGGTCCTTCGACATCGACGTGGATACCGGGAGGTAGGTGTAATTTTTTTTTAAAAATTTATATATTAAAACAAATTTAAAGGCCTATAGAATAAGTTATTTTTTTTAGAAATAATGTAAGACCCGGGCATTTATAAATTTTTGGGAATAATAAAAATAAATAAAATTTTAAAAAGATTTATGGTAGCGCGCGTAAACCCATGTATAGACTTCCTTCGGGAAATAAATGGATTTAAAATAAATATATTATATTTATCTCTCTATTTTCTTATTTCATAAAGTCTAATCTTCAGAATTTTTTTTCCTTCTCCTTCGAAAAAAGGGAAAACAAGAGTGTCTTCTGGAAGAGTATATTCGTTAGTAATTTATTGGCTAGTCAAAATCTATTTTTTTGGGAGTAGATGTAAGACCAAATTCCTTCGGGAAATTCAAGGATTTAAACTATCTTTTTCTCTTTAGTCTTTTCTTCAAGGTCTATATTTTTTTTAATCTAGCTATTTCCTGAAGTCTTAAATTTTTGTTAAAATAGGTGATCTTTTGGATTAAGCAGATTTTTATTAAAATACATTTGGTTATTTTTGCCCTTTGAACATTTTATCTATGTGCATTATTAATATATTTGTTTACTTTCTCATTCATAAATTCTCGTCCATTTTTATTCTTTGCTTTTAAAATTTCATTTTCTTCCCACATTAACATTTTTAACTTTACAATAGCCTTTTTCCTAAGTGTTTGTTAATATAGGTGTGATACAATCTTGATTTTCCTTTTTTCCACTTGTCTAATT